CGACGATCAAGATAATCGATCTTACGGGAGTGACCCAGATCGCTTCGATCGAAAACACGAGACTTTCCTAGGCAGTGACGTTTCCCAAACATTCCTCTCTGTCGTCGTCGGTACCGTCGGTACCGTCGAGTCATTGACGACTCAATCCGATCGGATCCGATCCGACCGAAATGACCGATGACCCCGGCGAGCCACTTCTAATCGCCATACCTTTTTCTTACCGCAGGTACGCGTGACGGTGTTGGACAAGAACGACGTGGCACCGACGTGGGGTCCGGGGCCGTGGAAATTCAAGATCTCCGAGGAGGCGCCTCCTAGTACCGTCATCACGGTACTCAAGGCCCACGATCCGGATACCATCGGTACTTTGACTTACACCTTGGTGCCGAATCATCATCGTCCGGGCGATCGCGGTGAACCCGCGGACAACGACGACGGGACGCAGAGTCAATTTATACTGCACCCGACCACCGGCCAGCTGAGCCTCGCCGAGGCCCTCGACAGAGAGACGAAGGAGAGATACGTGCTCAAGGTGCGCGCCGACGACGGCCTGCAACATCGGGATATCGTGCTTCACATACAGGTGAGAGACTGAGAGTGCGAGACCTGAGCGGTGTAGCGTGTTAAGAGATACGTTCTCTTACACGGGGAAAATAAATTACATAAAAAAAAACATATATTCTTCCTCTTATTAACATTCTGTTGCAAAGCTGGACTATAATATCATAGGATATTCTAACGTTATAATGATATTACTTATATGGTATTACTATGGTGTAGCGTCCATTATTACGTGAAAGATTGACGATTAATTAGATTTTAATCACATTAATAAAGATTACAACGCACATTGTAAATTTCGTTGATATGTGTGATACGTGGAGCGCTGATTAGCGTTTTTAATTTAAGGCGTCCTTAATTTAACATCCGTCATTTTACAAGAAGAGTATGCCGCATGTACGCATTAACAATAATTTGATATTTAATAGCACGAAAGTCAGTATGTTTCTTTTTGTAAATAAAAAAATTGTGCAATATATCGAAATGCTTTTGTAACATTTTCACAAATAAAGCATCAAAACGCATATTTTGCAAGTAAATCTATTTTTCTATTTTTTCTGATTCATTTACAGATTATGCTCATATAACAAATAAATATTAAAATTATAACATATATTATCATGTAACAAATAAAAAAATAACAAAACAAAGGACTAAATGAGCCATGCTGGAATATAAGCGATAATATGTATTCTAAAACGATGTAAAATAAATATTAAATAATTATTAATAGTAATCAATATTCATTATTATTATTATAAATAATAATATTTCGCGCTTTGGGGAACTCTTGTAAGATGACGGACGGCCCATCAATCAAGTACGGAATTTTTGGAATCTAAACAATTCATGTATATCAATGATAAATTTGCTATCAATCGTTTATCTTAGACAACCGAACGATATCGCGACCGGTCACTTCGATTTCTCGCGAACGCAAAATAAATAATGAATAACTGGCGTGAAACTAGGAATACGAAACGGCCACTCTCTCCGAAAGTATCGCGAAATATCGAAAATGGCATCCGTAGTCATCGGCAGAAAAGGGGAAAAGCGGAATGAGATCCATCAGAACGAGAAACTTGGCGATTGTTCCCGAGTATTGGAATGCTCGGTGCGAGCGAGGGGTCAAATCGATAATGCATTAGACACGTCCCCGTGCCGAAAGGTCGCCGACAACTTCCTACTATAACTGTAACCTATTGCTTCATATCGACGATTCTCCTTCTCGTGGTTAAATAATAACCCGGTACTCGTGATGGAATTCGGTCGTCGTATACGAAGGAACTCAGTGACGTTCGCTAATTTCTCCTCGCTTGAAGGATCATTGTAACGAATAGTCCTGCAGAATAGAGCCGAAAGAGAGAGAAAGGGGGGAGGGGGAAGAAAGACGTTAAGTAACCGCAGCGATGAATTAATTTATGAGTGTACTTATACGGGATATCGTTATTGCCGCGAGACCAATTACCGGTCAATTTAAAAGCAATCAATCTCTAACGGAATCGAGCCAGACAACACGACATGGTGCAGCGTGAAATTTGCCCAATGTAGAAGAAGAAATTTGTTCAATGTAATAATGTAGAAATATTTTTTTCATTTTAAAATTAGATATTTAATTCAAGTTACGTAAAGTTCACATGGGAAATTTAATTTTTTTTTAAACAATAAACAATAATCAAGACGACGTATATTTCAAACAAGATCAGAGATGGCATTAATCGGCGGATATTAATTTTCTTAATTCACGGAGTTTTTATACGTAATTATCTACGTAATAAAAAATTTTTCAGGAAAAAAGATTTTCAGACGGGAATGAAAAAGGTTCATGATGTTGATTTCATCGTAATATGCGGAATGAAATTAAAAATTAATCGAGCAAGTTTCATGCTACGCGTCGGGCTATTTCACGGGGCGTGTGTAAACGGTCGCGGACGGATCTGATATTTTTCAATTAATGGCCGGTAATCAGGCGAAAACGCTGGCGGGGTAAGAAAAGTCGGGGTGTACGGTTATAATGCCGCACGCATAAGTCAGCGCTGTCTATCGTAACGAGCGATCTCGAGCAGAACAATGTTGCGCTATTGCGTACCCGCGCAGGCATCACTCGGAAGATAAATCTACGATTGCCCGGCGACCCGCCACGCGGATTGCTCACACACTCGCTTTGCACGTGCATGCAACAATGGCACACCCGTCCTTCGTCTTGATGAAAAAGATCGAATTCGTTTTCTGTGTGATTGCGAAATGCCGCGAGAAAAATCGACCCGCGCGCGGATCGATTACGTCAGAATGTAAGCGCGAAAGAATACGATAAAGAGAGAGAGAGAAAGAGAGATAGAGAAATATGATAAATCGCGTAACTATCGTAAAAAAGCTCGAGATTTTAATCAGAATTCCTGATCACTGAGACTACGAAACACAAATATAGCCTTTAAAGGTTTACCCGGCGTTTAACTCGAAAAGTTTAATTAGGAGTTCTCGTATATTTTATATATTGATTAAATAAAACACATTACTACACATTTCACTCGTACGATTGCCATAACGAAAAGACGCATCTTTTATCAATGTGCGAGATTTTAAAATAAAAAATATATACATTTTAGAATTTTATTTTATTTGAAAATTATATTTTTTCTTTAGCATGAAAAATAAAAGTTAAATCAAGTCAGCCGAAAAGTAGTTCAAGTTCCACTCAGCAATTCCCTGATTCCTAGGAGTGTACTATTGCGAGGCGTGCTCGATGACGCGCAGAGTGTATCGTGCGTCCCGCCTTATAATTCATTACGCGATCCGGTCGAAACGATTCGTGATGATAAAAAACGCGAGTCGGTCTGGGTCCTGACCGTTTAACGAAGCTCGAAGAGGGACCCCGACCACCGGCACCGGTCTGGGCCGGGGCCGCGTTGCGCCGGGGCTCCTGTCAGAGACAATCGCAAAAATTATCCTTATGATGTGTAATGGCTGGAATTCTTTTAAGGACTTTGCTTTGCCCATCGCATGCTCGCGCCCGCTATTCCATCCTTAAAGGTGAGAGAGAGAGAGAGAGAGAGAGAGAGAGAGAGAGAGAGAGAGAGAGGAAGGGAGTGGGGGAGCAGATTTGAAACTCCATGAAAAGGGGCCGCTCTCTATTGGTCGACTGTTGCGGAATTTGCCCTTTCTGGCCTCTTATATCTGGTCCCCCTGTCCCGTGCCGTTTCTCCTCTCTGCCTCTTTTCCTATGTCCCGCATTCTCCTCTCGCTAACCTTAACTATTTCTTCCTCGACCGACCTTCCTAGATCCCTGAGAGAAGCTCTTCTTTTTCTTCTGTTTTGATCCCTTTTCTCGTCAAGCCGTTTCCTTTCGAAGTCATCACGGAAGAATAAGATAGAGTAAAATAGTGACATTATCAGAATAACGCACGTACGTTAAGACAGAATGCTTTTTTAGATTTTTTTTTATTTCGGAGACGTACAATTATTTAAAGAATACCTTAATTTAAGATATAATATGTCTATATTTAAACATATCTACTCTTAATAAAAAACCAACTAAATAAAAATAAGCAATGTATAATATTCGTTAAAACTGCATTGACATACCATTGGGATTAAATTAGTAAGACTTTACAAAGTTACTTGATAATCGCTCAATATTTAATGTGCAAAGAATTTGTTTTTTTTTGTCAAACATTATTTTGTCCAATCAGATCATTAATACGATATTTATCATGCTCGATAATTTAACCAAAAGAAACGAGGTTGGTTGTATTTCCTTTGCAATCATTATAAATAATAGTCTATTTTTTAGATTACAATTGCACACAATTATACACACTTACACACATTTAGATACATCGACAAGATGTGTTATCGCCGTACACAAACTATACATAAGTATGTCTCGGTCGCGGAATCTGGGCCTTGTCTGGTACCCTTCTGTCGTCCCTCGGTTCTTCACCGGGACTCAAAGCGTCTCTTGCCCAACCTCTTCCACCCCGTTTCTTTTTCTTCATCTTCTCCCTCCTTCTCGCTGGCTCCTCGTCATCCACTGTCGTCTCGAGACACCATCACTTTTTGCAAACGTCTCCGAGCCCTCCTTAATCAAACCGTGTCCACTTCATTCTACCGTACGGTGCGTCCGTCTCCGCGGAAAACTTAGAAACGTTTTGAGCGCGTTTGAGCTCTATAGAGAAATGCATCAATTTATGATGATGTTTTTGTAATTCTATTAATTTATTTGCTAAAAAAAATTACAAATTATGTGCAATTAATATTATTACGTAAAATAACAGTTTTTGCTAATTCCGTAGAATTACAGATATTCCACAAATTTTTTAGCAATAAATAAAAAGAGATGATATCCATAATAATTCGAAAATCTTATCGTGATATCTAATTTCGGTCGGATTACCGAAATATATATGAGAAATAAATTAAATCAAAATAGATTGAGCGCGCACTGGTAGCCGTATATAGCCGCCACAGAAATAACGTAATTTACATATTTGACTATAATTTACACAAGATTGACGTAATCGTAGAGATATCATTTGCTGCTTAATTTATTGCGTGTTTACGTCTTTAGTTGCGCTTATTTCGGAAAAACGAGAGGGGGGAGAGAGAGAGAGAGAGAGAGAGAGAGAATAAAGAGAGAAATTGCTATTTCTTTTAGATTGACAAATGTGTAAGAAATGTAAATGTAATTCATGGAAATATAAATCTATCGTTCGTTTCTGGCCTTGCGCGGTTTCTTTTCAGACGATAAAAAATGGTGTCTGATGGCATTGCGCAGAATTTAATAAAATAAAATAATGATATAATGAAACGTCGATGACATTTACATGCGCCAATCGTGACCTCGACTGATTAAATTAAACTAATTTCACAATTATCTCGATTTTCTATTAAATAAATTATATTGAATATTTTAAACATCTAATATAATTTTCTTATATTGATTTCAAAAATTTTCTACTCAATGTCACTTCCCATCGATAAATATTAATTTTATGAAAAATGTCACATTATACATTTTCTATTTTTTTAAACAAACCAGTTATCGCACCTAAACTGATGCTTGCATAATTATCGCAGAGAAATTTATATATAGCGCTTTTTACTTTAATAAAAAGAAACGATCTCCTTAATAATTTTTTATCAAGTTACAAAACTTGGTAAAAAATTATTAAGGAGATCGTTACACGCGATGAAAATGGTGTTTACCAGTGCTATTTATTCTCGCCCTCAATCGAGAGGAGGCCGTCTTTTTCCGTCCGTGCGTTTCACCGCCGCCGCGACGATCGATCACAATGAGCGCATTGTTACATGGATAAATAGCCTGCGGGGCCCTGAGAATGTTTTCTCGCGCCGGGACTACCGGCGAAGGGAGCGAGGTAGCACACAATAATTCGAAGGCGAATGAAGTGAGCACAGCGCGGCGCGAATATTTCCGGTGGCGGCGTGTTTATCTAAGAATGACGTCGAGTACGCGCCCGATTCGAGCCGATTTTATTCCCCGAGTGTTTATTTTAAGATCGCGCGCGTACCCGGCTTCCGGGTCTATTAAGAGGCGCGCATTTATGCCCTCACGAGCGACATGAGAGAACGCGCACGATAAAACCTTTTCTGCCGCTTTTATTAAGCGCGAGGGATGAAAGGCGACGTACGTAATGAAAGCAACTCACTGTGTCCTTTGAAACGGTTTTGAAGGAAAAAAGCTCTTGCGGAGGAATTCTCGGAAGGGAAGCGGGCATTTAACCCTTAGAGTAGCTTTTAAACATTAGAAAAAAGGAATTTTCTCTAATGGTAGCAGGAAAAGGAAAGATAATATGTGCTTTATTACATTTATTACATTTTTTATTACATTTTTTTCAAGAAATTGTTTAAATTTCTTATACGTTTAACAAGAATTAAAAATAAAAATTGTAACTATAAATATTTCAATTTCCATTTTAATTATCCATAGATATATCTCTAACAAATATTTTTTTATTTATATTTATTTATTTACTCTCTAAATTTCTTGAAGTGAAAAATATTACCACTTTCTAAAAGAAATGACGTTTTACTTTTTATAAAGGTAAATGTTTGACTTCAGGTAGGATAATTGTTCCGTTGGAGTGAATCTTTCATTCCATCATTATTGATAAATATTCTATCATATTTGTACTGTCAAAATAATATTTAATTTATTTTCATCTTGGAATCTCCCATTTGGAAGGACTCCATTTGGGTAGGATTTTATTTTGAGGATTCCTCTTCAGAAATTTCCATTTTATTAAAAATGGTTAAAATGAATTCATAATACTATATTTATTCTATCTTATGCAGTTTTTATTTACGAGAAATAAAATTCTGCTGTGTCCATCTAACGATAATATCGCATACTATTCGCTAGATATGAATCTATAATGGAGCATATCAAATTCACCTTTTAATTAAGAATGAAAATATTTTCACTCTACAATACGGAGTGAAAGAATTCATTTTTTAAGAGTAAAAAATTCCAATGGTTCGGTAATTATTCCATTTCTCAAGTGGAATTTCACTTTAAGAAATTTAGAGAGCACATGGCAATGTAAAGACAAATGTGTAATAATTTTATCACATCGCTGTACTTCATATCGCTATACTGATAAAGACTTTTGGAAATCGCTGTGTTCAGGTCACCGACACCAACGACAATGCGCCAACCTTCCAGAGCACGGCCTACTCGTTCGACGTCCCGGAGAACATGCCGAGAGGCAGCCGTGTCGGCCAGGTCGTCGCGACGGACGCCGACGCCGAAGGTCCCAACAGTCATCTGAGTTACGTGCTCATCTCCGACTGGGCGAACGACGTGTTCTCGCTGAATCCAAACACCGGCGTGTTCACGCTCACTGGGAGCCTCGACTACGAGCAGGTTGGTGTAAGAAGAGAAGTCCAATAATAAAGAACTCTGCCGTGAGTAAAGTCATCATCGGCGACGATCCTCGCGATTCTGACCCTATCGCATTAAGGTCCTTATTTATATTGACAGAAAAATTTGCATTTCTAACATAAATCGCTTTCTTCACGATTCATTATGAATAGTTCATGAATCCGCGTGGAATTTTTCGGCGGGTCCGGCTTTGACGGCGGGACTTTGGCCATGAGTTGGCGCGAATAAAGTTATCGCCGGTGACGATTATTCAAACGATGATCACTCCGAAATTTCAACCCTTCCACACCTGGTCCCCTTATTTATTAACAGAAATATTTAAATTTTTCATGAGCCGCTCCCACTCGTGATTATAAATAGTTCATGAATGTGAGAAACTTTATAACATATTAATTTTAAAACTTTCAACGTTTCAACGTCATAGGCGACGTGGTGAACGACGTCAAAAGACTTTGATTTCTCTCTTGATTCCTCAGTGATTCTCTTTCAAT